TTTTGGATACATTAATATGTAGCTCGGATACATTAAAAACTAGCTCAGATATATAATATGTAGCTCGGATACATTAAATACTGGTTCGGATACATTAATATGCAGCTCAAATACATTAAAAAAAAATAAGGGATTTTGAAGATTTTTAAAAGCAATAGGGGATAATGGAAATAAGTGAAACAAAAGGTGTGTAGAAAGAGCTTTCATATATATGTGATATTATTAGAAAGAGCTTTCATATATATATATATATATATATATATATATTAGAAACGGAGGGAATTGTATTTTAAAAATGAAATATATATGTGATATTATTAGAAAGAGCTTTCATATATATATATTTTAAAAAATTATGTTGTCTTCTGTATATTAATTTGTGCATATATGTGGAGTTTTAAAGATTGGAGCAAAGATTTGAACATTTTAATATAGGAATATGATGAATTGAAAACTTTAATACTTTCTTCGTTTTAATTTTTTCATTTTGTTTTTCTTTTAATTTGTTATGTATTTGAAAATTACATAAAAATTGCTTAAAATAAAAATGTAATAAGTTAAGATATTTTAAAAAAACATAACTAAAATTCATATAAGAAATTGTTGACTCTCTAATTCCATATTGAAATAAAAGAAGAACATATATTGTTTGAAAGTAATGTAAAAATTATTATATATCATAATAAAATAACAAGTAAAAACATTTAAGAATCATATAAGAAATTATATTGACTTTCCTAAAATCACTTGTGGCATGCAAAATGGAATAGAAAGAGTAACATATATTATTTGAAAATGACATAAAAAGTACTACAAATTTCAATAAATTAACAATTGAAATATTTTTTAAATAACACTTAGAAAAAATTTAGTCCACTCTCCAAATTTCATCTATGTCATATAAATTGAGACAAAAAAGTAGCATATATTGGGCCCGCGCTAGCACGGACACCTTATATATATCTAGTATGAGTTATACACTCAATAGTTTTTGTTCATTTTATATATATATTTCTCTTAGTTGACGTGTTACACACGTGCAAAGCACGTACATTAAAATAATATTAATTAATAGCATTATAGCTAGATAAAGCTCAGGGTGGCCAATTGGACACCCTTCGTCAAAGAATTATAGTATTAGATTTTACTAAGGGTCAAAAATTAATTTTTGTACCTATATATTAAATTTTAAACAACCTTAAAAAAATTCTAACTTCGTCATTGTTAATTAATTAATTTATAGCGTTAGATCTTGAGAAATGATTTCAGAATACAATTTTAATAGGTAAAAGGGTAAAAAATGCCCTTAAACTATGTGAAAGGAACAAAAATGCCCCCCCCCCCCCCCCCCCGCCCCCCCTCCTTTATAGTTTGGCTCAAAAATGTCATTACCGTCAATACTTTGGCTCAAAAATACCCTTGCAGTCAATACTTTGGTCCAGAAATGCCTCTATAGTTACAAAATGGGTCAAAAATGCCCTTTCCGAATAAATATATTATTTTTTCTTTTTAAACACATCTTATTCCTAATTAAAATATTATTAAAGAACATTATTCTTGTTTTCTTTCTTCTAAAATCACTTTAACAAATAAAAATGTAGGAAATATTTTTTTTCTTCTTAATCTCATTTTATCAATTAAAATAGAATAACTTTATGTACCCTTTCGATAGATAATATATGCCATATATATAAGATCATATTATATTCGTGATAAATTTATATTTATATAACGATAAAAAAATAATGATAATAAAATAAGAAATATTTTTATTTTTTATTTTTTTCTGAATTGAAGTAAGATAAACATTTGCTAATTTAAAAACATTATTAGAAAAAGAATGTGTTTAAAAGAAAATAATAATAATATATTTATTTGGAAAATGAGCATTTTTGACCCATTAAATAACAATAAGGACATTTTTGGACCAAAATATTGACGGTAAGGACATTTTGGACCATACTACAAACGGAGGGCATTTTTGTTCCTTTCGCATAGTTAAATGACATTTTTGAATCAAAGTATTGACGGTAAGACATTTTTGAGCCAAACTATAAATGGAGAGAATTTTTGTTCCTTTCACATAGTTTAAGGGCATTTTTTACCCTTTTCCCTTTTTAATGTTATATATAAAGAGAATGTTAGACATGCTGATGCTGATGTGGCATGCTTTTAAGGGCTAGAAAATTATTTATCTTTTTTGTGGTGTTTTTTGGCCATTTTTCAAATTTTAAATACAAAAAATTCACCTAAATATTAAAGATAGACACAGTTAATTCTTTCTTTATCAATAGTCATAATTAATTTATTTGATCATTAATGCTATTATTTTTTCCCTTAATATTTCTCATTTTCTTCTTTTACTATTTTAATCTCTTTCCTAATGATATTTCTATCATTTCTTTAAATTACTTTTTTCCCGTTTTAATTCCTTTTTACTTCTTTTTTTTAATTTATTCAATTCAAGAAATTTATATTTCTATATAATATAAAGTTTTTTTTAAAAAATAAATTACGATTTTGTTACCCCAATATCATCATTTATGACATATATAACATTTCCTTAAGTCACTTCTCTTCCTTTCTTTATTCTTTTTTATTTTTTTTAATTTATTCAATTCAAGAATTTTATATCTTTTAGTGTAAAGGTCTTTCTTTTATCTTTTTTATTTATGTTTTTCCTTCTTTATTTTCTTTTAAAGTTTCACCTTCATAACTTATATCTATTAAATTTCTATTCTTAATAATATAATTAATTTCATGACTTTTAAGTTTTAATATTCATAACCCCCAACAATTAAATTATAAAATTTAAGATAATTTATGATATTTCTCCATTTTTGTCACTTTAAATTCACAAGTTTTTTGTTTCATGGAATTTCAACTTAAGATTATTTTTTATATTTTATTGTTCTTTGTAGTATTACTCTATTATCAAATCCATGTGTTAACATGACACTGAAAAAGACTCTTGAATGTTGGTTAATTTGACAAAAAAAAGTGTATGCCAAGAGCTCAAAAGAGTGGGCACTTATTTTGTATTCGTATTTTTATCTATTTTCTTATGATAAGATTCTAAGGAAAATGTGTGTGTGTGTTTGTGTTTTCTCCGTGTAACTTCTTTAGTTTGAATTTGTATAATTTTTCATTATTGCAAGTTTGTATTTTTGTTTAGATGCAAATTAGTTATTGTAACTTTGTGTGTAATAATACTAACTACTAACCAATGTTCAACAATGTTATAGTACAAAAAATTATTTGTGTTTTTTAAAGATTCCTCTATTTTGTCAATATAAAATCATAATTTTTTATTTCATCAAACTCCTACTCAAGATTATCCTTTTTATTTAATATTTGAAGTCTTGTTTTTCATGGTTTGATATTGTAATAAAGGTAGACTCAATAAAGAGGACTCTATTGATCAGTTAGTCAGAGTGAGTGTTGACAAGAGCTAAAAAATTGTGCATTGATTCATTAATATTTTTTTTAAAAATCTATTTTCTTATGATCAAGGTCCTAATGAAGGTATGTGCATTGTGTTCTTTCTATGTAATTTCATAAGTTTTGAAGGCAAGAGCATTTTGTTTATACATTCGTTAGACACGAAAATTGATTATTGCAACTTTGTCTTATGCTAATTACTATCAAGGTTCAAACATTATTGTTGGTAGATTAGAAAATTTAAATATATATCAAATGTTGAAATACAACCTTTTTTTAAAAATTATATTACAGTACAAAGAACCATTTATGTTTCTTATGATTAACATCCTAAGAAAAATGTGATTTTATTACTATAAAAAAATTATTATTAAGTAGGATAGATGAAGGAAAAGAGAAAAAAAAGAAAAAAATTAATAAAATATAAAACAAATACTACAATAAAGGATAAAGGCAAAATTAAAAATATGAATATTTATTTTTATATATTATTTAAATAAGTAATGATGAAAAATAAGAGGAAAAACAACAACAATGAGTTGAATAAAATCGATACCTCTCTTTGTCCAAGAATCCTATTTGTTTATTTATTTAATTTCACTATAATTCTATTTATTATTGTTGTTGTTATTATTATTATTATTATAATAATAATAAAAAAATTGTGTTAATGACTATTCCTGCATTCATTTTTATTCTTTATTGTAAAAATCTAAATGTCTATAAATTAAGACATTGTAATATTTTTTAGAAATGATCACATTAGAGTTTGAAAAATTGTGCATTAATTTCATATTTTTTCCCACTTTTTCTTAATAATTAAGATTATAAGAATGATATTGCATTATTTATTTATTTATATTCTCTCCACAATTTTCTTTGATTTTACACGAATTTTTTTTATTATTGTAAGTTTATAATTTTTTTTGGTCCAAAATAACAACTTCTGATATTGTTGGAAGTCATATAACTACCGATCAAACATTTTTCTTTGTGAAATCACTTATACATCGGGATATATATAATATATATGCACATATTATAAATATTTCTTCTATCTATATCATATTTTAACAAAATTATTGACATTATATCATTTTTTTAACAACGTGAAGCGCGGATAAATTCTCTAGTGAACCAATAAAAGTCACGAGGGAGGAAGTTGTTTCCCTTGACCCAACTTGCTTTAGCTTCGGAGCATAATTTTCCTAAGTTGGAATATAACCAGATGAATGAGTATTTCCTAACAGCTTTTAATTTCGAGGACCCCAATCACAAAATAATCTATGTACACATGTGGGCATTGCAATCACAAATATATGTGGCAATAATTTAAGCATGTTTCATGTATTAATGTATAAATATAAATAACGTGTATATAAATGAATGATTTGCACAATATGCTTGAGTTACCACTACTTTTAAATAACATTTTTATTTTTCACACAATATATATAGATAAATATTGGGTCTGTGCGTGCGTGCACGGGCAGTATTCGTCTAGTCTGTATATAGGAACTGGAAGAAAGTAGTTTACCAAATTAATTGGACAAGTGAAGAAGTTGTGAGTAATTGAGGTAATACAGAAAAACATTTAACACACTGTAACTAATTTTCTGAAAAGTGTGCAGCTTAACTTACAGGTTGCAGTTCATTGTAGCTAATAATTATCTACATTATGTATAAAGTGTATAAACTTCTAAATGAATATTAGCAATTCTGAACCTGTTAGGAGGCAATGAGGTATCTGAAATATTAGTACATCTCTGCAGTCAATACCATCCAGCACAATTCAGAGGTGAAATGAGATATCTGCAACTTTTGGCCTGATATCACATATATCATATTTCACAAACTGTAACATTGTAAGCAACCGCTTCTTTAATGTCATGCTTGATGTCCTGAGCCTGTGATAAAATGAATAGCCGTTGCAGTCGTCAATCCCAATAATCCACCGGCTACAACCTGCAGTTGAAGGCTGTAGAATTCACTCTTTGAAGTTGTTACAGTTTATCATGTGATATGTTGGAAACATTAAGCATAGATGTAGATGTCCACTAATATGACTTTATGAAGTTCGCACTTGGAATTGCATCTTATGCAGGATAGGTAACATTAGGTTGTTGACTAACAATTTTTTCCATCAGCATTATTCCACAAGACATTACTTTTAACATGAGCATTATTCCACAAGACATTTTTTGTAAGGTTATTTCCAGTGGTGTAGCAACATATAGCCCAGGGTGGCCAATCGGACACCCTTCTTTCAAAAATTATATAGAAAATTGTACGAAATATATCGATCACAGACTATTTTCATGCATATACATTAAATCTTGGACGCCCTTAACAAAAAATTTTACTTTGCCAATGGTTATTTCATACAACTTATTTTTAGGGCAAGAAGAGAAAGGTCAAAAGTAAATGATGATCTACTGTTGGAAAGATTAGGTATATCCACAGTTAATTTCCTGTGAAGGGTTCCGAGCTGTGGAGAAGTGTGGACAGTAAAATTCGCGTCGAGAAAACAATAATCAAGAACGGAAAATTATAGCAACAATCGTATTTATTATTTCAAAGTGCGAGTGTTACAATCTCTATGATTCCTCGGAATTCGCCTTTTCAAATATAAATTCAAGGGCTTTAAAGCTTGTTCTTGAATCTCCGATGAACTTGAACTTGAACTTTATCTTGATCTTGACTTTTACTTGAATTCAAGGGCTTCGAGCTTGTTCTTGAATCTGATGGTCTTGATCGTTCTTGAACTTGAATGCTTGAATTCTTAAACTTGTAGCATTATAGAGAATTTTATGGCGTTTGTACCACGGAATTTCTCTAGCTTCTTGTTTTGAATTTTCTGTCTCTTTTCTGAATTATGAGGACCCCTATTTATAGTTTTAAAATAGAGGAGTTGTGATTGGAAGAGGACTCCCTTCGGCCAATCAGATTTAAGTGACATGACATATGGGCTTTATGGAGCAGGCTTTAATTAAATCTATATTTATTAGATTTAAATAATTAACTCAATTATATTAATCCATAATATTTATTTGAACTAATATATTCATAAATTTAATATAATCCGAATCATTTTATAAATTTATATTTAATAAATTTTAAATGACTAGAATTGCCCCTTCTTCAAGTCTTGTCGAGATATTTTATCTTTCAATGACTAGGCCTGAAGAATTTGAAGACTTGAACTTGCAGACTTGACAAATTTGAAGACTTTAACTTGTAGAATTGGAAGATTTTAACACTTCAACTTGTATACTTGGACAATTTGAAGATTTCAACTTGCATACTTGGAGATTTTCGAAGACTTCATCTTGAAACAACTTTTATTCATAGGGGTTTGCCCCCATTGAGTCACCACCATTTGGTGCAAGTCTGAAGTTTTATGAAAGATTACTCATAGATTTAACTTTCATGTGACAGATCAAGGGGGAACATGTGGTTTTTTGACATTCATGCAACTGAACTTAGAATATGGTTCTAAGCGCCAACGTACCTCAGTGAAGAGGATGAAGTCACAACGTAGTTCTGGGAGAGTGTTTTTTTTTGGTGTGTCGTACACAATTTATACTCTTGCGAGCCAGGAGTGACATGCAGTTTAGGCTCGTACCTTAAGGAGCATTTCAACTTGAATATGTAACTCTAATTTGAAGAGCTTTGTGACATACACTTTAAGCGCGTGTTTTAAGGAGCATTTCAACTTAAAGATTTAACTCACATTTGAGGAGCTTTATGACATATAGTTTAAGCTTGTGTCTCGAGGAGCATTTTAACTTTAAGATTTAGCTCAAATTTAAAGAACTTTATGATATACAGTTTAGACTCGTGTCTCAAGGAGCATTTTAATTTGAAGATTAAACTCAAATTTGAAGAGCTTTGAGACATACAGTTTATGCTCGTGCATCTAGGAGCATTATAGCTTGTAGTTTAGGCTCATGCGATGAGAAACATTGTAACTTACAGTTTAGGCTCATGCGATTTAAGGAGCGTTGTAACTTGCAGTTTAAGCTCATGCGTTAAGGAGCGTTGTAACTTGCAGTTTAACCTCATGCGTTAATGAGCGTCTAGATATACATTGACTCTTCAAAGTCATCTTCAAATGCAAACTTGCCCCCCACTTTGTAGTTCTTCTATATCTTCATATTCATGAGGTTCATAGACATGAGATCGTCGATCTTCTCTTAAAGTCATGCTTAATTCCATGTCATGTGCACGAGTTGCCAACTCTTCGAATGTATTGGGCTTTAATCCTTGCAAGATGTAGTGAAGACGCCAATTCATGCCTTGGATGCACAATTCAATGCTAGAAGTTTCACTAAGGCAATCTTTGCAGTTAAGGCTCAAACTTCTCCAGCGATTGATAAAGTCAACAACTAGCGCATCCTCTCTTTGACGAGCCTTTGTAAGTTCAATCATACTAACGACACGTGTCGTGCTATAGAAACGATTGAGGAACTCTTGCTCTAACCGCTCCCAACAATCTATAGAATTTGGTTCGAGATCTGTGTACCAATCAAAGGCATTTTCTTTGAGAGATCGGACGAACTCTTTAACGAAATAATCACCATACGTCCCAGCATCATTGCAAGTCTCGATAAAGTGCGCTATATGTTGTTTGGGATTTCCTTTGCCATCAAATTGTTGAAGCTTAGGAGGTTGATAGCCCTCAAGCATTTTCAAGTTATCAATTATTTGTGTATATGACTTTGCATATGTGGGAGAAAATTTGGATGGAGACTCAGATTTGTCTTTGATAAAGTCCTTCAATTGATCAATGGGAATCAAACATCCAACGGAGAGATGAATCTCTTTGATCTTTGTTTGCTTTATGCAACTCTCTTTCGTCTCTAATTCTAGGAAACTTCAAAGATTCTCGACTCGATCTTCTTTCGATCATGTTATCCATCTTATTTGTTAGCTTGGAAAGTTTAGCATCTTGTTCATGAGCACACTTTGTCAAGCCTTCAATTGCTTTAGTCAAGCTTGCTAGTCGTTCTTCCATAGTGCAAGTCATTTTGATATTCTTTGATGCTTGAAAAGTTGAGATGAGAGGTAGAGAGTGTCCCACTGGGCGTGCCAGAATTTGTGGACAGTAAAATTCGCGTCGAGAAAACAATAATCAAGAATGGAAAATTATAGCAACAATCGTATTTATTATTTCAAAGTGCGAGTGTTACAATCTCTATGATTCTTCTAAATTCGCCTTTTCAAATATAAATTCAAGGGCACCCTTCGAGGTGGCCCAGTGGTTTGGGCTTGGGACTTCCATGTTGGAGGTCTCAAGTTCAAAACCCCTTGCCAGCGAAAGCAAGGGGTTTGCCTTCTGGGTCGAGCTCGTCGTACCGGGCTTGCCTAGTGCGGGTTACCTCTCCTATGTGGTTTGCGAGCTATTGCATAGGAGCGGGGGTTTACCCTGTGCTCACCCAAATGGGTAGTGGCTGCGGGTTTCCCTTGTCATAAAAAAAATAAATATATAAATTCAAGGGCTTTAAAGCTTGTTCTTGAATCTCCAAGTGCACTTTGAAATAATAAATATGATTGTTGCTATAATTTTCGCGAATTTTACTGTCCACAAATTCTGAATTATGAGGACCCCTATTTATAGTTTTGAAATAGAGGAGTTGTGATTGGAAGAGGACTCCCTTCGGCCAATCAAATTTAAGTGACATGACATATGAACTTTATGGAGCGGGCTTTAATTAAATCTATATTTATTAGATTTAAATAATTAACTTAATTATATTAGTCCATAATATTTATTTGAACTAATATATTCATAAATTTAATATAATCCGAATCATTTTATAAATTTATATTTAATAAATTTTAAATGACTACAAGAAGATTTTTCACAAGGACACACTGCATACACACACACATGTACACCATTATCATTCATGTGCTCCCTGCCCCTCCACCCCTCAGAAAATAAAATGATCAAGTAATTAAATTAATTATATTTAGAAGGTAAAATTGAAATTCCCAGACAGAAAGAAATAAGGCAAAGAAAACAAAGAAACAAGACAGAAAAGAAACTTGTCAACATGGCGAAATGGGGTGGGGGAGGGAGTTAAATTTCAGAAAGCCTTTTACGGTGAATTAGGATAAAAGCCAATCTACAAGTATTTTTAAGTAAAGTCAAATAAAGAAACCTGAGGAGGAGTGTGACCAAGGAGTTCTCGTAATGGTCTGCTATCTGCAAGAGGATGTTCAGAAGGAAGTTCGTACAAAATTTGATTCAGGACCTGAAAAAAGAAAGAACAGAAGAATGTTGGTATATGTTTACTGAAATTTCTGTGCAATTGATTATACTGCTATTCTAAAGTACTGAAAGGATATAATGTCTCTGCTTGAAAATTCCTGTGGACAAATCTAAGCAAGCAGCATGCATGTAAGTTGATAGACATGCTTCAATATCAAAGCAGATATCCAAATAGCAAAATCAACACGAAAATCACACCTCTGCCTGACGTCCAGCATGTAATCTTACACCCGTGGCATCATACATGACCTGCCACAAGAATTTACGACATTAGAGATCTCTTGGTTACCAGAATACAACAGAAGACAAAATGCTCAGTTACTTTATTGGGGAACAGTATTAGATAATCATGAAAGAGGACAACTTTACCCAAAAGCCAGACAATACATAAGAAGGATCTTTTCTTACTTTCAGGAACCAATTGGATCTAATGTTTGATAAATCTTCTTGTGGTTATCCTTGCTATCAAAACAATTGAAGTATTATTTTTATCCCACCTTCCTAACAATATAAGATGTGTAAGAAAATAAGATAAAAGGCTTCTTTTGAAAAAAAAAAAATTGTGAACTTTTTGAAAAAAGATACATCTTGACCAACTCTAAGTGTAACAACGGTTTCCTAAAAAACAACATGGGAACAAAAAGATTGGTATGTCTTGAAGCTAGTGGAACCAAAGGTGGAATTATTTTACGTTCGAACTCTGCAGTATGGAAAGGGGAGATCTTACAGATTGGAGCTTACACATTATCTTGTAATTTCAAGGCCCAGTTATGTGATTTTGAATGTCTTGACTGGTGTTTATGCTCCTATAATAGCAAATTGGAAAGAAGATCGGTATGTGAGGAATTAGCTGATGTCAAAGGTCTCATGGAGGGACATTGGGTTATTTGTGGTGACTTTAATGTGTGTAGATTCCTCTCCGAGAAAAGGGGCTGCATTAGGAGAATTCAGTTATGGGGGAAGTTTCAGACTATATAGAGGATATGAAGTTCATTGATTTATGGTAAGATGGTGCTTCTTACACTTTTTTTAAAGCTGGCAATCATAACACTGCCCCTAGAATAAACAGGATATTGTTTCCACAGAATGGAATAACCAGTTCAGCAATCTACTTTACAGAGAGTGATTTAAGAACATGTTACAATTGCTCTCTTCTGTGGACATTTGAAAATTGGTGGTTAAATGCAAAAGGTTTTGCTGATAGAGTTATTAATTGGTGGAGTGATTTTGCATTTTTCTGGGAAACTTGATTACATTCTAGTCTGTAATTTAAAAGCTCTCAAAGGAAGCTAAAAGAATGGAGAAGGAATGAGCAAGGGAATTACAAGCTTCAAAAGAATAAATTGATTAGCCAGATGGCTGAACTGGACTCTTGTTTGGAGAATAGAACATTAACAGAGGAGGAAATTGCTAAGAAAGCCAATTTGTTCATGGAATATATGAAGGATGTCTGAAGAATGAAGAAGAACCCTGGAGACAGAGCCAAGGGCTTTATCACTCCAGGAGGGGAACAGAAACACCAAATGTTTTCGCTAGACTGCTAATCCTCACAAGGAATATAATCACATTGACCAAATTGTAGTACATGAAGAGACTATAGTTGAGCCTAACAGAATCAAAGAGGAGATCATTTTTTCTACAAGAAGTTGTACACTGAAGAATGGAGACCCACTTAAAATATTAGCAACCACCCAACAATCACAGATGTTTAAAAAGAGGCATTACAAGTTAAGTTTGAAGAACAAGAGGTTTCTGAATATTTGAAGATGTGTGCTACCGACAAACCCCCTTGCCTTGATGGTTATACAATGAGGTTCTATTTAAAATGTTGGGAGGTTCTAAAGAAAGATAAAATGGAGACTTTTTACAATTTTCATTCAAATGAAATGTTTGAAAAGTACATTGCCCTGAACCCCAAGAAGGCAGGGGAACGGAGCTCAGACTTTAAATCTATTAATTTGATTGGGAACTTTTACAACCTGATCTCTAAGGTCCTGACAGAGAGATAGAAGAGGGTGGTGGAAAAATTGATGGACAAACAACAAATGGCTTTCATTAAAGGAGGGCAGATAATGGATGTAGTGTTGATAGCTAATGAGGACATAGCTTACGATCATCGGCTTTGATCATGCCACTAGGCATTTGATTAAGACATTGCACAAACCATTCATACTCTCATAACTCAAGTTGGATAACTTTCAAACAGTTCAAAGGAAAATCTTTCGGCAATTTCTAGCTTACGATCATCGGCTTTGATCATGCCACTAGGCATTTGATTAAGACATTGCACAAACCATTCATACTCTCATAACTCAAGTTGGATATTTTCAAACAGTTCAAAGGAAAATCTTTCGGCAATTTCATTTATTGAGTGGTCTTTCCTCCTTTTTTGTTTGTCTCCCGCTCATAATCAATCCCATTCTACTACTCTGTTAGTACAAATTCTTGCCAGTCTCCGAGGGACATCGAAGACTTGGAACTACATCGATAGAAGGTAGCCGTACGGGAAGATGCGACTGGATCACCTCCTTTTCAGGGAGAGCTAATGCTTGTTGGGTATTTTGGTTTGACGCTGCTTCACACCCCCAAAAAAGAAGGGAGCTACGTCTGAGTTAAACTTGGAGATGGAAGTCTTCTTTCCTTTCTCAACGGTGAAGTAAGACCAAGCTCATGAGCTTATACTATATACACTATATACGATATTCTTAGAAAAAACCTTGTAGAAAAACAAAGGAAACCTATCCGTAGTAAACAAGAACTCATATCTGAGGGATCCCTCGGTACAGGCCGAAGAAGCAATGTCACTCGATCATTATCAAATTGACTGATGTGCGGCGGTTAGGCATCCTTAGACGAAAGAGTGGTCTTTCAGGATTGTTCCTTGTGTGTCACCACCTCCCACCTATCCTACACATTCGATTAAGGTTGTCACTGCGAAGCTATAGTTAAGGTCACACATCCGATTCATGAACAAGAGGATTCATAAATAGACAGGCTTGACATTCCTTAGAAAGCAGAAAAAAGCAATTGACTCCATAATGACGCAAGGAAAACATGACATTTTATGCAAACTTGATATTAAGAAAGCTTATGATTGTGTCAACCGGGGGTTCATTCTTAGTCTGTTGAGACAAATGGGTTTTGGTGAGAAGTGGATCAACTGGATTAAATTCTACAACTCTATTGTGAACTCTCTGTCCTTATTAATAAGGCTCCAAAAGGTTTTTTAGTGCACAAAAAGGGATTAGACAAGGGGATCCTTTATCCCCTTTTCTGTTTATCATAGCAATGAAAGGCATAAACAATATGTTAAATATTGCTAAGATAGGAAGAAGGATCTAGGGGTTTGAAGTTGCCAAAGACAGTGAGAGCACTTTAGAGATCACTCATCTTCAATATGCTGATGGCACCCCATTTTTGTGGTGTTGAGAAGGAACAGTGGTTAATACTGAGGTTGATATTGGTTTATTCTTATGCCATTTCTGGGCTACTCTACATACAAACTGGAATAAGAGTCACCTTTTCCCAATTAATTTGGTCCCCAATATTAAGCACCTACAACAGATTCTAGGAGGAGTGGTGGGCACATTGACATCCATATATCTTTCCATGCCTTTGTGAGCAAAGTCAAGATCCATAGATATCTCGAATCTAGTTTTGGAGAAATGTGAGAAGAAATTGTCCAGATGGAGATCACAGTATTTGCCACTAAGAGGTAAACTAACTTTGATAAACTGTCTTAGATGCTCTACCAACTTACATGTTGTCCCTATTCCATACACCTCGGACAGTGGTTCAAGGTTGGATAAAATCAGGAGAAGAAGGAAAGCTACCACCTAGTAAATGGAAGAATATTATCAGAAGCAAAAGATAAGGTGGATTAGACATCAAGAACCTTAAGAACCAGAGCAAAGTTGTTAAGGTGAAATGGATATGGAGATACCCACAGGAGGCTCAAGCTTTATGGTGCAATGTCATCAAAAACAAGTATGGAGAGTTGCACAATTGGGTAAGTAAAGAAGTCACTGCCCCTTATGGTGTTAGTCTTTGGAGATCCATCAGGCTCTTCTGGCCATTCCTTAAAAGTCAATTTATTATCGAGGTACACAATGGTAAAGACTCTTTTTTGGTTAGACAAATGGATAAGTCATGATAGTTTACAAGGCTTATTTCCTAACATCGTTACTTTGGCTCAACATCTACACAAGACAATTGCTGAAATGTGGATACAACAAGGTTGGGATTTGGTCCTTACATTTAAATGATTGGAAAATTTCAAGAATGACTGAATTGTACAAGTTTTTGGAGAACTTTCAAGGACTACAAAGAGGAGAGGATTGCGTATGGTGGAATCGGCATAGAAAAGGCATATATAAGGGGAAGAGGGATGCAAGCTGACAAACCAAACTGGAGCTCAAATTATTAAGTGGCCTTGGAAGCACATTTGGAAAGCGAAAGTGCCACACAAAGTGGCATGTTTCACTTGGCTTCTAGTTAATGAGATTATTTCAAACAAAGAGGGGAATTCCACTATGCAACATATGTCCTTTATGTGGAAAGGATGCTGAGACAGTTAGGCATCTCTTCCTACATTGTAAAGTCACTGACCAATTGGGGAAAATTTTCCTTAATCTCAAAGGCCTTTCATGGATAATGCTGAGTCAGATTGATGATACTCTTTTCAGTTGGGAGGAAGTTGGATTTGGAGCTAGAAACAGAGACAGATGGAGGATTATTTCTGCCTGCATTTAGTGGACTATATGGACAGAGAAGAAGGACAATTGTTTTGGTAACAGGAGCAACAATGTGTAGGAGATTAAACTTAAATGCATTTTGTTCTTCTATTTGTGATGTACAAATATTTACTCTAATGAGACTGAGTCAATTCTAGATGTTTTAGGGTCCATTTAGAGTTAGAATCAGTTTCTTTGGAAGTTCTTTTTGTTTGTTTTGTTTTGTTTTACCTTCCTCTGTTGTAAATATGGTTAATTCAGTACCACCTAAGTACTAATATCAATACAAATGTACCAGTTTAAAAAAAAAAACATGTTGGATTCAATAGTTAATCTTAAAAAAGTCTTTGATAGTTATAAGGTTAGGTAAAATTATTGTGACTAACACAGGAAACAATGTCATATTCAGGTTCAAAAATTAAACCAGACCACACCATAATCCCATATAACTAGTTACATGAAAGATCCCTCTATTGTATAGACTGTACAATATCCCTAGCAACCTGAGGTGATAGGTTGTGCATAAATAACCAAACCAATAAATGAGTAACAACTCTTTAAGGCACTACTACATAAAATTTGAGTTTTCTGAGATTAAGCATGTACAAATCTTACAGGCACGAATTATTAACATTTGAGTTCTAGTGATTAGGCATGTACAAGCTGAGAACTGTATTCTTTGTAACAGTGCAATAAGTGTTGTTTATCCAGTAATTCTGCATCTGCTTGATGCTCTTTAATGATACGTCACTTCATATTAAAAAAAAGTTTATACGTCGAAGTGGTCGAAGTTCAATAGAGATACATATAATTGAGAGAGAGAGAGATATACCACACACGCTAAAACTAATGCACAAGCAAAGAGTGCTCCCCCAAAGCCCTCCTGCAAACCAACAGCCACAGCTAGAGCAGTTACAGTTGATGAATGGGATGATGGCATTCCACCAGATCCAACAAGTTGCTTAAGATCCCATCGTCTTTCCTTGTACCTGTAGGAAATTCTTTTTCAATGTCACATTCAAAATGCCTGATCTCTGACTAAATCATGGAATCCATTTGTAATATAAACAGATAACAGTAAGCAGAGATGTGGATATACACAGTGTTATCAAAAGCAAAAAGCACAAAAAATCCCTAAAGGTCCGTTGGGGGCTTTAAGCGCAAATAAAGTGTTGGCTTTAATGAAAAAAGGCATAAAGGAAGAAAAAATACAGTTTAGTCCAAGAGTAATAATTTATTAGCATGAATGACAAATATATGAACAAAGAAATTGAAAAATAATTATGATATAATGAAATATCAATTGTTGTTTAGTGTTGTCTCTTCAGAAGAGATTCATTAGCAAGGAAAATTATGCCTTAGAACCTTGACGACAACTCAACACATTTTGAGCCTCGCTTTAGGGCTTAAGCGCACCTTTGTTAAGACTGGATATACATTTGAAATGCCAATAATAATGAAAAATACCCATGTGACAGTTAACTTTCCATTAGCAGAATACTTCTATTGTGCCAAATACACACATGGACAGAGAATTTGAGTATTTGAATTTTTAATAGTGGTTTTAAACAAAACTAACTAATCTGTCTAATTCATCAAATGAACCCAGACAATAACGTGGAAGAGACAGAAAGTACAAAATTACAGAGCAAATTCAGATCCAACCAGAAAAAAATATGTTCTTAGATACTTAACCAAGCTCTTGACGAGTAGCATAAATCTTCACTTCATACTATTCTCCTTTGCCTCCGGCTTGGGCATTTAGTGTCCTATCTTATCACCTTTGTCAAGTCTCTAACACTCATCTTTAGTGTGACTTTTTTTTTTATCATCTTTAGTGTGACTTCGCTATTCCTATGATAGGGATTATCTATTTTGAGATAAGTGGGTGTGATGCTATTATTTATAATATGGATTCTTAATATTTTTGTCAATTGCATTTATGTATATAAGATCCAAACTTGCCTTGTAGCAGCTGTTAAATGTCAAGATCCTCATCTAAATGCCAAATAAGGTCCTAAAGCATAAGCTAACAATCTGAATCATAGTGAACAAATGCCATCTTTCAAAAAAAAGAGAGGGAGGGAGGAAGGATACCATGAAGTGAAGAGCTTGGTGGATTGGGCAAGAGCAAAGGCAATAAGAGCAGACATAAGTGGATAATTAGTGAAAAATGAAGATGACCCGACAGAGACCGTTGTTGTCGTTGTTGCAGAGGTTGTCATGGTAGCTGTCATCGTATTCATATTCTCTCTAATTTCGTGAGTTTCAAATCAAGATTCAGATTTCAAAGTTATAATCCAAGATTTGGGAATACGAGGTGTTGTGAATTCTGCTCCGTCCTCGTTTGCGTGTGAGGAAAATGGGAACACGAGCTATTTTGGGGTTCAGACAATGAAGAAGCCAACCGCATGGTTTCATCAATGACTTGAAGAATATTCTTTTGCACCGCCAATTTCAATATTTCAACTTATGGAACCGTAGGTGACTATATTTAGTAACACCAACAATACAAAACAACGCTAATAGGATGTTCACGAGTCGGTTTGAATCGGTTATTGGTCAAAATTAAAATCAAATCAATTTAATCGGTTTTAAAATTAACAAAACCAAACTAAACCAAATAGAATATACATTTATGGATTTGGTGGTTATCGGTTTCGGTTTGGTTTGGTTGGGTTGGGTTCGGTTCGGTTATTAACCATACACAAAAATAAAAGAAACAATCATTCAAAATGTGAAAAAAGTGACAACAATCCATTCAAAACGAAAAATAGTTTGAATGACTTAAATTACTGAACTTTCAATCCCCAAATTTACTATCAATAAAACTTTAAAATTCACTATATTGGCCTAGAAGAAAGAGACAATAACATTTTCAGACCCTCAAAGAATTGTCATAGACACTCATATACATGAAATCAATAAAATAAATGTTTTCATCTTGGACATTTTTGCTTTCAATAAGTAAATTATAAAGAAATTTTAATAAAAATATATGTAAGATCTTTAAAGTTGTTTATAAAAACAATATATTAAGTATGTATATTAATAAAATATATGTATATAATTCATCGGTTCAGTTTGGTTATTTCTTCGGTTTTTTCGAATAAAACCATAACCAAATCAAATACTATCGGTTTTCAAAAATCTAAAACCAAACCAAACCAAGCCCAAATAAAATCGGTTCTATTTTATCGATTTGGTTCGATTTTTTGGTTTGGATCGGTTTTTATCTAAACAGTGAACACCCCTAAACGCTAACATAGGCTGCTTCACCATTAGCCAGAGATCTCGGGTTGAAGATTGAGTATGGAGAAAATTTGTTGCGACCCCCACCCCAAATAAGCCATGCAGCGCGATCTGAATTTAGTTATGAGCTCCAATGTGGGCAGGGGCAGATTTACAAATACCTAAGGGGTGTCACGTGACATGACTTCGTCCCAATTTTTTTCGGAATATACCTATATATAAAAAATAAAATAAAAATAAATGCTAAAAAAGTTGAAAGGACACTGCTTGTAATAGAATGTTCCCAGCTTAGATGGCACAGGCGTTGTAGGTATGGTGTAACGTCTCATGTTCGATTCCTTACGAGGTGTTTCTTTTTTCTCCATTTTTATTCATGTTTTTTTTTTGTTTTTTTCACGTTTTCTTTTATTCTTTTCTTAAATTTATTAATTTTTTGTTTTAAATTCAAAACAATAGGTCCCCTTCATTAAAAACCTACCGACCCACTCTAATTCATTCAAAATCTAACACTTTTTTTTATTTTTAGAATTAAAATAAAATTCAAAAATCTTTGAGTCCTTTATCAATTAGAATTATAGTTAAATAAAAATAGTGTTAGACTCCTTACATCCTTGTATTTGTATATTTGTGACTTGTGAGTTTGTTCAATTTTCTCTCGTTCTTGTTCATCAATCATTGCTATTTGGCATCTCGAATCTCCACATCATGTTAGTATTTTTTTGCTATTCTATTTTTTTTTATTATGTGCTTGAATTTTTATTTTTATTTGTTTTCATAATAATAATTTTATTTTTTACTATTTGCTTGTTACAATGAAATAATTTAGAATTCATTAAATTGATTACAATTGTCCGCCCTCTATTATTTGATCCTCAATTACTAATTTGCAGATTACATCATATAAGTCTAAATTAGTCTAAATTTAATAGAGAGATATTACTCAATTACTAATATACAAATTACATCATATAAGTCTAAATTAGTCTAAATTTAATAGAGAAGTATTATTCTAAAAAAAGTTACAATCATTCAAAGCCAATTTTAATGACTCAAGCTTCAATTGACCTGGAATAACAAGCTAATGAGTCAAAAAAATAATAATCTATGAAGTGAAGGAATTGATTTAAGTTCATTGCTGATTGATGAAAATATTACCGATTTGAAAATATATCATTATGCAATAGGGAGATCATATCTTCAACAAGGTCCATTCAGGGAGATCATATCTTCAACAAGGTCATATGTTCCCTTTTTTTATTTTATTTTTAAAGATGTTAATCATTTATTTGCAATGCAATTTCATGTTGAATAATGCTGTAAAACTTTATTTAATAAAATGAAGAAGTGAATGATTTAATTTAAAATTTAAATATATTAATTAAAAGAGTAGACAATTTTTTATTTTTTTAAAACTAATAAAAAAAAAATTTTGTAAGAAAAATATTTTTTCATAAAGTTGCCTCAAATTTTTGGAGGCCTAAAGCAAAACCTTCATTGATTTTCTTCTTGAGTCATTTCGAGGCATAAAGCAAAACCTTCATTGATTTTCTTCTTGATCCATTCTTGTCCCTTTAATGGTGACACCGCTTAGAAAAAATCATGCATACGCCACTGAATGTGGGCTTCAGATACTGAGTGGAAAATCAAAAAGAAAAAAAAACTATACAAAACAAAACAACGACTCCTTAAAGAAATATTTACAAATAATTCGTACCAAATTTGTTTGTCTAAATTGGTCAAATATAACATAAATTTGTTAAATTGATCAAATTGATTTATACTTATTTATGTGTGTTTGTTAAAATAACAAATAAAATTAGTCAGAAGTTGATGTATTTCAGTATCTGTAACTTTTCTACTTATAATAATAATTTTGAATTTGATCAAGTATTTTATTATTTTAGCGCTAATAATTTTGTAATTCTCAATATATTTTCCTATAACAAAATTTTGAACTTTCTCTTCATTTTGTAAATGACGTCAATTTCAGCATTTAAATTCATATTTTAGGACTCAAATATGTCCTCGAACCATGAGGACTCACCAAAAGTTGATAGAATCTTGTACTAACCGTGAAGGATGTGCATCAGGACCTGTATTATAAAATAATATAGGCAGAAAAGTATGCGATCAATACTTAAAATGCACTACATATGAGGTAAATGCATAAACATGACATGATAATGTGATAAGTCTGTAAAACATGTTAATGCAATGACCAAGTAAACATAACATGAAAATTGATGATGTGATTATGAAAACATAGTACACGGTCATGCAATATTTTAAAATTCACATCATATGTGGGAGATATTCTTAACCGATATAAACCATGTGAGCAACGATATGAACTTCACTATACTGCTCTCACATAAAAAAAAGAGTGTCCTATTTGCTTAGATAAGGACCATAAAATCTGAGCTAAGATGGATCCACTAGTTAATGTCTATCTGAGACAAAATATCATTGAAATCATTGAATTATAATCAAATCATGCATAATGAGATCAATCATGAAGATCAAACTAAAAATTCATAAGAACTCATAAGAAATCATGAAAACCTAGAATTTAGAAAGATCAGAAATTATGAAATTGAGGTTTCTTTTGGACTCAATGGGTGAAGAAGGACTCATTGATGAAGTTCCAACATACCTTTATTAAAACTTATATGAATTTGGAAGAGGATACTTAAAGCTTTGGAACCTTGATCTTGCCTTGGGAGAGAAACTTTGGAGAGAAAAAATAGATTTTTAGAGAATGCGAGGGAATTGGGTGGTTAGGAATCTTAGGAATCAATTATACTCATTTAGAGTAGGTCAACCAACCTAGTATAGGAATTAAAAGAGTGAAAAAAAAACTAAAATAACTCTGACTAAAATCTGTCGGATGGCTTTTAGGGGCAGTCCACGGACCGAACAACCTTCTATAGTCGGTGAAGTGGTCCGTAAATCCAGAAGGGAAAAGTTATGAGATCCAAAGTTTCACTCTACAGACCCTTCCACGGTTTGTAGAACATAGGACGGTCCGTGCACTTATCCGTGAAACTAAGTTACATGATTTCTGAAGTTCTCATTTTACGGATGTTTCTATGGTCTTTGCACCATTTTGCGGTCCGCAAAAGCCTTTCTATCCTATTCAAGTCCCAAAGTTTCCAACTTGTTGAACTTCCAATCTACGAATGGGTGTATGGTCCCTGAACAACTATATGTACCGTACAAGCATTAGTAAACCATGATCATGAAAATTCCATTCTTCTGAGGTTCTCTTCACGGGAAGCATCGACGAACCTTAAAAGCCAAATGTCGTAGACTTCAGCCAATTTCTGCTCTTTTCAACTTTCATCTCAGTTAGGCACTTCTAAGGTGTTACAATATCCCCCTTGAGAACATTCGTCCTCGAATGAGATTCAACTAGGCATGAAAAGAGTAGGAAAAGATTCTACAACCTAACATGAAGTTTAAAACTATTTTCATGAACATGCATGCATATGGAAACATGAAAATAGCTAAAACACATAAATTCAGAAGAGTACAAGGCGGAACTAATACTTCACGCTATAACTGAACATGAAGGAAAGAGATGTGGATACTTGGACATCATATCGGCTTTGGCCACCCAAGTAGCACCCTCAACAAACTGATTCCTCCAAAGGACTTTCAAAGAAGCAACTTCCTTATTACTCAACTTACAAACTCGACGATCAAAAATCTCAATCGGGACCTCTTCATAAGAGAGACTTTCCTTCACATGGACACTCTCTATACAATTGTAGTCGAATCACCAATGCACTTTTTCAACAACGACTCATGAGACACCAGATGCATAAATGCTAAAATCTAAAGGCAAATTCAACTCATAAGCCACATTACCGAAACACATCAAAACCTAATATGGGCCTATATAACGTGGGCTGAGCTTTCCTTTCTTACCAAACCTCATCACCCATTTCTTAGGCAAAATTTTCAAATAAACCCAATCATCAACAATAAATTCAAGTTCTCTCCTCTTCACACCTGCATAAGATTTATGTGTACTCTGGGTCGTTTTCAACCTATCTCTAATAAGCGAACCTTTTCCATAGACTCATGAACTGAATCAGACCCTATCAAAGCCACCTTACCAACTTCAAACCAATCTATCGGGGACTTACATCTTCTACCATGAAGAAACTCAAATAGAGCTATCTGAATACTT